CTTAGTTGGTCACAGAAAAATTTTAGGAAGAGAGCCTGGGTAGCAACTCACTTTGGAGTTGTTTTTGACTTGTGTCTGCCTTAGAAGGCAGTGTGACATTGAGTGACATAGAGTGACTCTTTCAGAGTGAGATCAGTGTTCAAATCCCACTCTCATAAGTAGTTTTGAACAATGTTGTTCCATGGTATTTATTTAGTAACAGCGGTGTGACAGCTATTCCGCCCTTCCCTGGGCATGTAGCTGTAAAAAGGACAGTCCATCTGTTCACAGAGCCTACTGTCTGATGTTGGTTGAATCTTTTCTATAAATGGGAATTGTGACAAAGATGATTTTACTTCTTATAACAGGTAAATGTTAATTTAATGGTAATTGTTCAAAAGCTGCCCTAGAAGGGTTTCATTCTACTAATACTAGCATTTAAATTTGGGAATATATATATATTAAATAAAGTTTTACATATATATATATATATATATATATGTAAAACTTTATTTAATTACTTTATGATCATTTCCAATTTTTTACACAAAGGAAACTGAGTCTACCCGGAGGACAAACCTTCTGCTCAAGGCCACTCAGCTCACAATGGGTAGAGCTGAGATTCGCACCATCCAGCTGTCTCATTTCAGCCTGCACTTTCTTAACCACTATCCTACATGGTGGTTGCTTTTGGAGCTGCCTCCTCTTGGGAAATATTTATCCCAGCTGTGTATGGCAACAGTTTTGTGGAAATCCCAAATACCATAATGGTCAACTCTATTTCCCTTTTAAAACTGACAATTCAGAGATGTGCCCAGGAAAAGGGACTGTCATTGCCAAGCTCCTTGGATTCTCTGCCTTTAGCCTGGCTATGTGCTCCTTGGCTAGGCTCATTGCAGAGCTGCCAGTTCTGAGAGCTCAGGGCAGGCTGTGCCCTGGTAGACAGGAGCAGGAGTCACTCACCTCTCTAGGACTCTGTCCCTCAGGGACCTTGGAGTCTTGTTTTCTACTCAGCGTTAGTTGTGTCTGAAATGTGCTTGCATGTGCATCTGGAGTTAATCCCTCCAAATTTTTAAGAAGGCTGAGGGGTGATGAATGGAGGAAAACCAAAACGTAGCATTCTGTGAAAGTCCAAAATACATGTGGACAGTATTCCTTCCTAATATTCTGATAATCCATTCTTGGCTCTATAGTGGTTTCTCCCAATATTATATGCTTCAAACATACTTACACTCAAAATATTTATTTGGCAACTCCAAGTTGGATAATGTACTTATTACAGTGGGTCACCATTTTTCTTCTTTGACTATGAAGTAAAATATGATACTAACACCTCTACTATGTGTAATATGATGATGAGACCAATCCCCCTGTCTCTGAAGAACCACCTCAAAGGCTGCCTCTTTCCTGATCCCTGTCCCATATACTAAGAACTAATCTTCTTCCTCTAAATTCTTTAGCCTGTGTCTTCTTTGGTTTGTGTGTTTGATTATAGTTGTACTACTATTTCTCAAAGATAAAGAATTGGGAGCTAGAAGACTTTGGTGAGTGAGGTTGGAAGGAATCTTTTCCCCTTCTAATCATTTGAAGTTGCTGACATTCAATGCAACTAACATGGACATTAACAATAGGGATTTATACGTCTGCGCCATGGGCTAAGGTGACTCAGGGTCAGGTTCTGCAAGAGAGGCAAGTACGGCTTAATAGGAGGATTCTGGAATGGTGAGGAACCTCAGAGCCTTAGTTTTGGGATTAGTATTGCATGGTTTTTCTTTGCCAGAGTTTTACTTATATGAATCTTTATTTAAAAGTGTGAACTGATTTTGGTGAATATCTGTGCTCTAATTTTGGTGAATATGGAAATTAGTGGTATGTTAGTTTCTTAAAATGGGACCTACAAATTTTATATTCTTTCTAGCCCAGGAAAGTAATTATTAATAGCTTGAAAATCTCCAGGTCCTTGGAAAGTTTCTATAATTTGTACATAAAAAGGGACCTGAAATCATTTTCTAGATAGAATATTGACAAAGCTTTAAATTCTTTTCATCATCATTGATCAGTTCAGATTATCAGTCTCTTCTTGATTCAGTTTTGGAAATTTGCATTTTTTTCTGTAAACATTTTTATTGAGGTTTCAAGGTTCTTGTCGTAAAATTATACATACATATTTTTAACAGTTGAAAAAACTGCTGTGTGTTGATTTATCTCCTTAAAATTTGTGAAATTTTTCTAAGGGTTGGCTTTAATTCTAGTCTTTTTCTATTTTTGTAATTTTAAATTTATATTTAATTTTAATTTTTTTTTGTTGCTTTCTCTGGTTACTTAATTCTCTACTGAAATTGTATCCTTAGTTCAGATTTTCATTACTTATTGGTAAGTAGTGAGATTATTTGTAATTTTTATTAGAACAGATTATGAGTAATGAAAGTTGATTTCTTACAAAGTTTTTATTTTAATTATCTCTCATGATTAAAAGATAAATATAATATTATTTTTTCAAATGATCTTCAAAAAAATTAAAAAACAAGGAGACAGATCCATGATAGTAGACTTAGAGGCACCACTCTGAGACTTTCACCCAGGTCAATACACAAGCAGTTGCTTTGAAAGTAGGGAGGACCAACTCCTGGGATACAGTTTGAAGGAAAAAGGGAACAGGTGAGGTCCAGAGACAGGCTTGGCTGGAATAAGGGGCAAACCACCACCCAGTCTTAGTGGTGCTGGCAGTGCAGGGCTGGAGACTGCACCAGTGTATGAAAAGTACCGAGTTCTCCAGGGGGCCATGGCTCAGTGCCCAGCATAGACACACTACCCACCTGAGTACAGGCCATGCTGAGTGATTCTCCACTAGAAGGTGGGACCCAGAGTCTGAAATACTCATTTAGGAAAACCTCACAGGACCTGGGCACTGAATGGACAACAAGACAGAGCACCCCAGAGGGTGGCAGCGGGAGGACTAGAAACCAGTTCTGAGGACAGAGAGAGACAGAAGGGATGGCTTAACCCAGTAGAAATCCAGAGCCACAGGATGATTCCGAGAGCTTAAGCAGAGCTAGAAATGCTAAAGTTGGACGCCAATGATAAATTTACTGAGAAAGAAATCAGAAAGGCAATTCCATTTACAAAAGCTTCACACACTTTTAAATATCTAGGAATCAACCTAGTCAAAGAATTGAAAGACCTCTACAATGAAAATTATAGAGCAATGAAGAGAGAAATTGAAGGAGGTAGTAAAAAATGAAAGCTCTTTCCTGTTAATGTATTTGTAGAAATAATAGTTAAAATCACCATAATACCAAAAACTACCTAGAGATTAAATGCAGTAGTAATTGGAATTAAGATCAAGAATCAATGAATGGGATTACATTAAATTAAAAAGTTTTTGCATAGCAGAAAAAACAAGTAGCAGAGTGAAAAGACAACCTACAGAATGGGAGAAAAATCACTGCTACATACTCTTCTGATAGAAGATTAATATCTGGAATATACAAAAAAACAAAATTAACACTCCTAAAATTAAAAAAAAAGGGCAAGTGAATGGAATAAACATTTAAACACACACAAACACACACGCACATGTACACACACACACAAGTGGCCAGTAAATATATGGAAAGGGTTCAACAACTTTACCTATTACAGAAATGGAAATCAAAACTATATTGAGATCCTACCTCATCCCAGCCAGAATGGCTATCATCAACAATGCAAAAAACAATGAATGCTGGGAGAATGGGAATGTAGGAATAAACCCTCCCACATTGCTTTGGAAATGCAAACTAGCACAACTGCTACAGAAATCAGGATGGAGCTTCCTCAGCATACTTAAAAGAGAAATACCATTTGCTCCAGCTATATCATGCTGGGGTTAATTCCAAAGAGAATTGAAGACATCAGATTATTGCCATGTATGGATGTTCATATTTGTAGTGATATAATGTATAATTGGTAAGCTGTGGATGCAGCCTAGATGGCAGTCAAGAGAAGAGTGGATAAAGAAAATGTAGTATATATTAAAATGGAATATTATTCAGCCAGAAAGAAGAATGAAACCAAGTCACTTGCAGAAACATGGATAGAATAGGAAACCATCATGTTAGAAAATTAAATATTGTGTGTTTTCTCTTACATGGTAAAGCTAAAATTTAAATACATGAGTGGATGAAATAAAAGAAACATGATAAAAAATGGGAAGATACTCTTGGAAATGGAAAAGAGAATCAGAAGTTATAAGGAGGGAAGGAACAGAGGTAACAGGATTGAAAATCATCAAAATATGTTATATGGATGTACCAACTCCCCAAAATGAATATCACTATTTTGTATTATATACATTTACTAGTAAAGTAAATGAAAGTAAAAACAAGAAAATAAAGGCCACTTATCATTCAACTATCAGGTTTAACAAATTTTAACTCTTTTTTTTTGTTTGTTTTTTGTTTTTTGAGACAGGGTCTCACTATGCAGTTGAGACTGACCTGCAACTCGCTATGTATCCCAAACTGGTCTCGAACTCACAGCAGTCCTCCTGCCTCAGCCTCCCAAGTGCTGAGATTACAGGCATGTGTCACCACACCTGGCTAACAAAGTTTAACTCTTTAGAGCATATCCTTTTAGATTAGTTGCTTCTCTCGCTCTTAAACAACATCACATTATAAATGAAATTTTATATTACTTCCCTTTTAGATAACATTTCAATATGAAAAAGATCAAATCTATATCATCATTTTTGATATCTGCATAGACTTCCATGGCTTGGAAATACCATAATTTAAAAAGATTATTTATTATTTTTATTTATTTATTTATTTTTCACATTATCATTATTTTTCTTTTAACTGAAGCTTAAAATTTGTACATATTTATGGGGTACCATGTGCTGCTTAATATATATTCACTATTAACAGTATATAATATTCATTAAGATAAATCTATAACTTCTCAAATACTCTTTCTTTATGTGATATGGCATAGTTTATTTAAACTATCTACAATAAATGAGCATTGTATTTGTTTTCTAGGTTACTACAGTGAGTCTCCAGTTTAGGAATGAGTTCCATTCTGGGAGTTGGATTCATTGGTAAGTCTAACAAAGTGAGTCTTACATACCTTTGACAGAAATTTGTAGTGTAAAGCATTTATAAACCAAACACTCACAAATACTGTAAATAAACTATTTTTTCCTTTTATAGTTACCTTAAAATGGTGGCACAGTTCAGTACTGGCATCTAGGGGACCGCATGGAGTGGACAGGGTGAGAGTTACTAACTGGAGAAGGGAGGGTAGGTGGGAGATGCTGGAGTGACATCTATTATCTTTTTGCTTTGGTCCAGTTTCAATTATTTGCACTTTTGTTCCCATGGTTATTGCTTTGAGCTTCCTAGCAGTTCCCTCCACATCACCACTGCTTTTCCTCTTGCTTTCTAATGTCCTAAGCACTGACTGAGGTACTACTGTGAAGTATCACATTGTACAGTAAGCATGTGACAGCACAGCTGTGACGATGCCTGCCACACACTTGAGCTACTTTTGTGATTTGTTCCCATCTATAAATGTTTGTAATGCAAGGTCTGTTTGTATCTGTGAAAGTCTATAGCTCAAATGTTCTAAGTCAGGGACTTACTGTATTTGTATTTGTCACTTTTCTGTTGCTGGAACAAAATGCCTGACATCTGCAATGTAAAGTAGTAGTAGTTTATTTTGGCTCACCTATTTGGAGGGTTTAGTCAATGGTTATCTCACTCCAAGGCTAAAACATTATGGCAGAAGCCATAGTAAAGAAGAGCTGGTCACTCATGGCAGCTGGAAAGAGGAAGGGTCTTTATGAAGATGGTCATTAATTTGTTATACTGTAGAATGTTTTTTCTCCCTGCATATCATTTTTGAGGGGACAGTGGACTTCCCATGTTTGGCATTTCCCCACAAAGTGAGTAGATTAGGCTCCAGCTTTCTGTTGTTAAGAAAGATACAGCTGTTGTTACAGCTGGATAACAACTGTATCACACTTCACAGATCCATCTCCACAGCCTGCAGGTCTGGGGTGGAGTGCCAAGAAGGTGGACCCCTGGGTGTACCAACAGAGGAATGTTGACTGAATGGTGTTTTCTGTCTATATTTGGTGAAGCTCTTGTGCAAGTGTCAGATTTTCGAGTCCAGCTTTTCTAACCGCCATCTTGCCTTCTGCTTTGCGCCATCTGCAGCTGTGCCCAGCTTCCTTCCAGCTGTAATCTTACTCATGGTTTGGCCTCTGTGAGAAATCCAGGGGCTTCAAGAAACTCTCCTTTCATGTGCCAGTGGTCAGCTTCAGCAAAAAGAAAGCCTGGGGCGGGGGTGTGGTTCCTCCCTACTGTTCAGACACTTCAGCCACCAGATCTGTACCTCCAGGAAGGAGACTGTTCAGAAGGATTTCCAGTTGTTCCTTGGTCTTTGGTTTTATTTACTTTTATCTGATCTATTTTATTTCCAGCTGAAACTTTTCTAAGTTTCTACTTTATAGATAATACCTCCCTGCTTTCTAAATTTGAAGGTGATTTTTAAAATCTTTTGTGACTCTGAACAGGACAGTGGAATTCTGAGAATGGAGGACATGAGACTCTTGTGCTCTGATTCACATTTCCAGTTCTTTTAACATCAAGTCTGATGATCATAATAGACATTCAAATTGCAGCCAATGGCCAAAGATGAAAATCATTTTGAGCTTAAGGGCTAGTAATTGTTTTATGTAACTTTTATATTATTCTTGCCTAGGTTGAAATCTCCATATTTCTTTTCAAGATATTTCAAATGGCAATACTAATAATCAGGTTGTCATCAGAAAAAAATTGAGACTAATCTTGAATAAGTTCAAATATTTATTCCATAATTTATAAGATAAATTTTGTTTGCATTCTTTATATCCCTCAGGCTCAAAAAGATATAAAGATGAGTAAGAAACAGCCTCTACCTTCCTCAAAAAAGCACACATAATAACATAGTAGTTTATTGGCAACGACTACTATTTTTTTCTTTTCCAGGTCAAGTAACAATTCATCTTTTGAAAATGGAAGTATTCAGGATAAGTAAATGCCTTTCCTCCTGGCAATGCAGATCTTGTTTATTTGAGCAAATCAATGAAAAAATTATTTCACCATGGGCATACAAGAAACTTGGAGCATTTCTCTCACTAATCCTGAAATAAGAAAGGAATAATTTTCCCTCTTCTATCATCCTAGACTCACTGGAGTCAGAAAAGTTAAAGTTGGCTGAATTTATATTTCCTTTTAGTATTTTTGTTCAGTATATATTATTCTTCATTTTATTAGTAACTGGCATCAGTGTGCAATCACATGTTTATTTTTAATACTGCTATATTCCCATCTGCATACAGAACAGAAGACAAAATATAGCTTTACTTTCTGGAGAAGAGCTATTTTAGTTCTGAACTTTCTAAATGCTACATGGTATAGGCCAGTAATAGAAGTATTTTGCTATCTAGAAATAAAGATATGCATTTTTCATATATATGCAAATAAGTTTTATCAAAAGTAGTGGATTTTGCATATCCAGCTTCATTTAACGTGTTTTTTTTTTTTTGGTAAAAATTACTGTAACCTTTTTCTATTGTGTCTTATCTTGATAGGAATATAAAAATAAAATATACTCTTAGCCGGTGCATGATCACATGACTCAAACTATGTCCATGGGACAGAATTTTTTTTTCCTGAGAATTTCCTATCTCATAAAACAATTGTGAGGAGGGAGTCAATACATGCAAAGTCTTTATAAGTGTTAATGGCACAGAATAAGTAGTACATAGTATGAGCTTTTAATATTCTAAAGCAGAGTGACATAGAATAAAAAGTTCTTTGAGTTGGAACATTACAGTCAAACTGCCCTGATATTCCCTTAGTTCCTCTAACTTGTTCCTTAGAGCGTCCCATAAGTGACTCAACTCTCTATTTCTTGCAATCTAAATGTCTTGATGGATAAAGAGAACTCAGTAAGCCTCTAAACACTGCAATTAAGTGATATTCCCCAAATTTTCTTTTATATTTTACTTTGAAGGGTATTTTCTTATTCCTTCAGAATACAGTGCTCTCTCATTCTGAGAAATTATATCAAATAAAATAATAAAACAATAGTAGGGTAATCTGACAGAGAATATTAAGACATGAAAAATCATGGAAGTAAATAGCTGGGCTCAGAGTGGCATTAATTCTTTTTTTTCTCCCTGTGGTACCAGGGATAAAAGCAGGGATCAGACTCAGGACCTTGTGCTCGCAAGGCAGGCATAGTGCTGTTGAGCTAAATCCGCAGCCAGAGTAGCATTAATTCTTAAAAGAAAAATCACTACCACTGAACTCCTATATGTCATATATTATTTCTAATCTTTATAGTGAGTTTGCATAAATATTAACTCCTTTTTATAGATGAAATAACTAAATGTTTGGAGCTTATTCAGCTAGCTAGAAACTAACTAGAATTATGCACCAGGTTTGCTCAACTACAAAGCCTGTACTCTCTTTGTAATTATAATATCACATTTGAATTTTCTTAAATCATATGATACTATTTCTGTGATCAGTATATTAAAATTTTTAAGTGGTGTTTACTTATTTTTTCATTAAATATTTATTGAATAATTATGTGAGTAATCAAAGTGTCATGGACCTGTGTAAATACAGCTTCAGGGAACATATCAAAACATATTTGAAGAAGTAGGGGTGGTAACATCATACAAAGAAAGAACTTGTATAAATTTTTTAGCTTAAATCTAAAATATGCCTTCTAGTCAAAGGCAATAATAATATGCATCCCAGGTAATCCATTATCGATTTATTTCAAAACATTACAAAAACTCCTGTATTTTCATTCTTGTGCCTCTAATTCCTATCAATCTGATTTTTCTAAATACATTCACAGTATGGTGGGTGCATCTTTAAAAGTTCTAGAGAATTTTAATTCACCTAATTTTAGGGCCTTGCTATGCAGCAAAAATGTAAAAGGTATCATTTGCTAAAGAGAATCTGGATAGAGTTCCAAATATTTCAATATTACTGGTAAGAATAGCCACAATCCTAGCCTCCAAGGATCTGTAGGATGTAAGGATTGTGCAGAAACTTTTTTAGCTAAGGCTGAAAATCACTTTACCTTTACCTTTTCCAGCCTTCATAATAGAGATCTTGAAGGAGTGTGTAGAAACCCATAATTTTAATCTTTTCCTTCCTCAATCTCACACCATCTGCAATCCCTGTTCAGCAGCAGAAGGAAAGAGGTTAAACAAGTCGCTCTGCTGATGGCAGAGTTTACTTAGTTTGTGCAGAAAAAATTTTCTGTGTGCTCAGAGATATCATTGTTTGCTTTCCATGTAATGGAAAAAACCATAAAGGTAATGAGTAGACACACCGGCAGTTGAAATACCAAAGAAGCATAATTAGGCTTTGGTTTTACACAGGCAGGAAGTTTGTGCATATTCATATCATTACTAATGATTAATTTTATTTTTAAGGACTTTGTGTGAGATTATATTTGGAAAATGTGTGCAGTGCGATTGGGGTCGGTGGTGTTTCTATGGAAAATAAACTGATGAAAAGAACAAAGCCAGATAGAGTTTGGATGCCTGAATAAATGGTTTAGATCAAAATGAGGTAAGCAGTACGAGTGTGAGCCTTTATGATTACTTAGCAGAGAGACTGGCAGAAGGCTAGAAAGTAATCAGAACCGAAGAAGCTTAAAAACAAACAAGCAAACAGCAACAACAAAACCCAAACTTTCGTTTTTCTTATAATTGGCTTTGATATATCTGGTTGCCTTTTAATTTCTTTTCAAACAGGGGTGGTATTGAGTAGAGATCAATTTCCTTATAGAAAAACAAATTATGGCTAGTTTTATAGTTTCTCATTTGCTCCTCAGTTTCTCTGAGCTCCTTAGGGTGCTATTCATGCGAGACTGGTGTTCTGTGGGAGAACATGAGCTTTCTGTATTCATAGTGAAGAGCTGGTCTGGACAAGAGATAGCGTCAAAGCAGCACCACACTGGCCTTTGGAATGCGTGGATAGGTGGCTGGAGAATCCGTTAAAGAAGGGACTAAACTGAGGAACCTCGATCCTCTCAGCACTTCCCAAACCATCCCAGGTCACTGGCTCCAAAAAGGGTGGAGATTTAAGCAGACTCCAGAGTCCCAGCCAGGCATTCCAAGCTAAGTGTTTCCAAGGTGATCCTGGAACCTGCCTTCTGTAATTCTGAGGATCAGCCCGGATTCTGAGCTACCGTTCTAAGACGTCTGTGAGGAAGGACACTTTCTCACCCTAGTAGCACAATTGCTAATTTCCAGGCACACAAATGGACACTAATGTGTTCTCAGTTAATTTCCCATCACTGGGACAAAATACCTGACATCTGTAACTTGAAGGAGAAGTTTATTTTAGCTCACAGTTTCAGTGGGTTCAGTCTGTGGTTGGCTGCCTCAAGGCAGAAACAGCACAGTAAAACAACATGGCAGCCAAGAAGCTGAGAAAGGCAGAACCAGGAACAAGAACCCTTCTAAGTCAAGCTCATGGTGGCTAGCCCTTTCTGCCCAGCACCTACCTCTTAATGTGAGGTTTGGGGAGATATTTTAGATCTGAACCATAGCAAATAATAATAAGTTTGGGGCAAGTTTTTCAGCATATCATTTTTTTAAAAGGCAATCCCGGCTCCTCACTCCTACTCCCCAAAAATCTGCTAGCTTCACTCTCCAGCAATCTGAATTTGACATATTTCATCTGCTTTGCCATCTTCTGGGTTGACTTTGCCCAGGCCAAATATTAGGCAGCTACTATAATAAGTAAAGATGTATCTCAAAAATGAATATTGAAATATAGTAATGTCACTTCTTAGTGGAGGTTTTAGAAAATGGAAATTTACCTACTGATTGTCAAAACTTTTAAAAAAATGTCTTGAAACTTTACTGCCTTCATAAAATATTGTACTTTGTGTTTTTCTAATGACTCAGAATTTTCGTTACAAATAGGACTTTGCTGTGCTCTGCTACATAGTAAGGAAATTATGAAGTACAAAGTTCATTTTCTCTGTGATTCTCAGTTTGTGTTATTATTGGTTTGGTTTGCCTGTGGGATGCTGTTCATGCTGTCTCTCCTTTGCAGGCCAGATGTCTCTGGGGTACCACTGTCAGTATGTCTTCCTAGGACATATGCATTACTTCGTTTTTTCATCTTTTCCTCATATCTGTGGGATGCAGTACCAAAGAACCAAACTTCTTAGAACTAAGTCTTAATGAGAGTGAGTTAGATTCTGGGCAAGGGTCTGGCCATCTCTCCTGGGAGCAACTAACTGTTCAGCTTTGGGATATGAATGCCACATGTACTCTGGCTGCCCAGAATATTTTGTTGACATGTTTACTTCGTCTACTGACTTGCTGGAGTGGTTAGGTTGGAATATCGAAGGAGGTTTGGTCCGTATGCACAAAACTTGTAGTGAGCATGTGATAGTTTGCGTCAGCATCTTCCAGAGTAACATGCTTGAACTAGAGAGAAAAGAGGTAATACCCAGCTGCAAAGAGGAGGAAGTACAAGTCAGAACATTGATTGTTCTGCTCTCAGGGCGTTAGCAATGCTGGGTCCTGGGTTGCAGCAGGAAAAGGTCTTAACTTCTCCTCCTTCCTGTCATTTTATTTCTCCACCAGAAAATCACTTGGCAGCTGTCATAGCCACACAAACCCTTGGCTGCTTGGTAGTTTAGAAAAATGCAATCCTTTTCTATGAGCTGATAATCCGAGCAAAGAAAAGCACCTGCAGGGTTATCTTAAGGAAGCAAAGTAGCAATAATTAATGCCCAATCTCTAAAGAAAGCTCCCCCCGCCCAGCTGATCTGCTGTGGAAGGTATTAGGTGCCACAGAACATTTGTGTACAGAGACAGAATGTACATTTGGGTACAAGTGGGAGGACATTCCTAGCTTACAGGCAGGCTGTGGATAGTAGTCCTTTGGTGGGGCTGGGCTTACAGAGCACACCAAGCAAGTTGCAGATCTGTATACTGTTGAGGTCTGCACAGGGCTCCCTCTTGACTTTCTGCTTTTTACCATTAACACCATAAATCCACCTGCTGAAAGTGACAGCTGTCCTGAAGCATTCTGGGCCTTCCCTTTAC